AGACGCGCGAGTCCACGCCTGCCTGCGGTGAACGGCCGGGCGGCAGCACCGCCGGCCCTGCCGGCCTTCCCCTCTGGCCCGCGTTTTCCGTCCGAGGAGCGGGGGCAGGGCGCGCGAGCAGCCCTGCCGTCCAAATTTCCAGTCCTGACCACAGGCGGTTGAGTTTGTGGAAAGCGACGTGTGGGAAAAGCTGAGTGTCCGAAATCAGAGACGAGTGACGTACAACTCAGGAAGGCTTTTTTAATGCTGGGTTGTGACGACCAAATCGGTGAAGTGGGTGTTTTCTTCGTTCAGAAATTTCCAAGCAAATAAAAAGTTAGGCAACTTGCTTCTTCCATGGTTACTAACTCAAATGGACACTTTCCACCACCTAGATCTGAATGTTGTTTCTGCGTGTTAGTTTTTGCTAGTGGAAGATAAACAATCAGGACTGAAAGCAGGGTATAGAGGTTGCTGCAACAACAGTTGTAGGCTATGAAAAATGGAAAAGAATTTGGGTAGAAGTTTCTATTTCAAGATCAATTTTCATAATGACATGGTAGATCTAACAAAATCGAAATTTCTAACTGAACAGGGAGCACAAACGTAGTATTTCACATCAGAAGATAATGCTGAATATGAACTTTTCTTCCAGTCCTTGGAGACCATTTAAAAATTGATCAGTGTAAGACCTGCATTTTAACTTTTCATGGGAGAAAACTTTTTTTTTTTTTAATAATAGTTTTTTCTAGCTCAGAAACAGAAAATTTTCTTACAAGTTCAAAGCCATGTTGGATCCGATCGCTCTTGTTAGGAAGATACATGATTTCTCAAGTGGAGGCTTTTTCCCATCTTTTCCATTTTTGAGGAAAAGTGAATCGTTCTCTAACAGCCCAGCACAACCCACATCTAGTAATAATTTCACTAAAACCAGTTTTCAAATGTTCAGAGAACTAAACCGTTTGGTGAGATTCATAAAAACACAATAAGGCTAAGAAAATAGCTCATGTCAGTAAGACAAGTAGATGTTAAAAGTAAATACCAATAAAAAATATTCATTAGGAATAACTGCAAGCAGAAAAGAATTGGGACTGCCTGCAGCTGAGACCACTGATTGGTTAATTTTGCCCTGCTTGCTTACATGCAGCTAAAAATTCTGTAGACATAACCCCATTATTTTCCCTGTCTAATGAGGCTGTCTCGAGGAGAGGCAGTTCTGTCCAGAAGATGGGGGGAGGTGGGGTAGAGTCATCATTTAGGTACAGAAATGGCTGACAAGTCTGAAAAGGTGACTATTCCTATTGACTGTTTTTAAATAGGGAGAGTGAAGGGTTTAAGTCCATCACTGTCTTCTGTGTGGATCCAATGAAAATAAATTAATTGAATTTTATAAATACAGTACTATGCAGTTTTCAAAAAGTGATTCAAATAACATTTAAACGTATTAACCCGACAGAACGAGTTCAAAATGTTTATCAACAGCCATCACCAGTGTTGTGGAGAATATCAGTAACTCATAAGCGTCAGAGAGGAACTTGTGAAAAGCTCAGATGCTGCAGAGCAATGGTTCTTAATAAAAACTGCTCTATTCAATCTTCAAAGCCACTCTTTCCCTATTAATACTTTAAACTACAACTATATTCAATCATGTACAAAAATTAGTAGAACATGCTACATTAATAAAAATGTATCTTTATTTTAAAATTTAATAGCCGTGTATTTTAACAGAGAACTAACAAAAATAGAAGTTTTGTCTTTAAATGTAAATATGGTAGGGTGTTCTGCTGATTAAGGGTACCAGTTAAACTCAGACACCAGAGTGAAAAGAGTAGGTGTATTTTACTACTGATAACCAATGTAACAGTGTAATACAGAAAACATGAAGTAAGAAAAAGCAGAATAGTGCACTTAAAGCAGCAAACAGGAAAAAACAGAGTAGTGCATTAAATCATTACTACACGAGAGAGAGAATGGAGATTAAGAAAAATACATCACCACTTGCACACGTTCCCATCACCCAGACCCGCAGCGAGGGTTTGCAGAGCCTGTCCCGGCAAGGGGGAAATCCTACGGGGTGCGTCCACTCGTAGGTGAGGCTTCTAGAGTCGCTGTGAGCGGGTCCAGCCTTATATACCAGAGATCTACGAGCCAGAATAGCTGGTACCTTTGTTTTGAGCAGAAAAATTCTGTTTTCATTCTCCTGTTGGATTCCACCCAAAGCCTGGCCAGGGCTCAGGGGAGGAGACCAAGGCAGTTTCTAACAAGGCCAAACACATGGGTTCTCAGCCTTGAACAAGGCTAAAGGGGGGAAGTTGGATACATTCTCTCCTCACTACTGATTATATTTTGTCTAAGCTGCATGTTTCACTAGCGAGCTTACATACTTTGTTAATGATTACAGACTAAGTTAGCAGCTTTGGCTTGGGGCCTGCTGTTCAGACTTCAGTATTTCAAAGCTTTAGCACTTTTTACATCAGCATAAGTGCATTGTTATAACTTAGTACAATACCTACTATCACAATGGTTATCAGTTATAAAATATACAGGATTCACCTATAGGTCAACTCTGGCTTGGGCCAGTTGTCCAAGCCTTAGCACTTCATAAGGCAAGATTTCTTGAAAGAAAATCACTCATTTTGGTTTAGAAGAACAAAATGGGTGGCATATAGCCGCCAGACCACTCAGTATGGTTTCCTGTTCACTATAGATTCACAATCCTACGATGGTCTTTCAGAGCTGTATTTTAACACTGCTTGGAGGCCAATAGGAACGCACACCTACATATGTTAAACTGCAGAAAAGTTAAGAATCTCAGCAATATGCATGATAAGGGATTGTTTATATGGGCTTCACAAGAATCTCAACCCAGGACAGAGCTGGCCTTGAGAAGGAAGACAGAGTTGTACTTGAAAACACTACATACTAGGACTGAGTGTTAGTGACTTAATGCTGCCAAAATACCGTGTCTGAAGAGCTCTGTCTAGAAGTAAAGAAATCTGTAGAAGGCTGCTGGAGGTAGAGCACCTGCATGATTTGTATCTGTTCCAGAGTTGTTTCAGAAAATCAAAACTACTGTTTATACTGAAGAAAGAAAATTACATGTGCTTTGAGAAAGAGGGACTAAAAGCACTCAGATCTCTGTAATAATGATTATTTACCATTAAATTAACTGGAAATGCAGCAGTAAATTTGTGATCACTGACATATACATATATATAGCTGGCTTAGAATTGAAACCATGATGTATTCACATGCAGAAATGGAAAGTCAGCAAAATA